TGAAAGAAATTATTAATTCGTAAATGTACGTTTAATTCATTTTCTTTGACATTGTGATTAGTTTATCATGTATTATGTTTAATTCATTTTCAATGTATAGTGTTGTGGAGCAAGTGAATATGATGAACAATGTTAGAAGAAAGTCGTCATAGATCTTTCCAAAAGTGAGTGGCCCGATTACCTGTTTCTTTCATTTACATTCATGTGTGTTTATATTCATGTAATTATTGCTTAATTTTGTAGATGAGGAAACAACCCGGACCTTACGAATGTGGGTATTATATCATGAAGCACATGTTAAACATTGTCCTTGCCAGTATTGTTGATTCATGTGATAAGGTATATATGTCATAATATATATATATATATATATATATATATATATATATATATATATATATATATATATATATATATATATATATATATATATATATATATATATATATATATATATATATATGTGTGTGTGTGTGTGTGTGTGTGTGTGTGTGTGTGTGTGTGTGTGTGTGTGTGTGTGTGTGTGTGTGTGTGTGTGTGTGTGTGTGTGTGTGTGTGTGTGTGTGTGTGTGTGTGTGTGTGTGTGTGTGTGTGTGTGTGTGTGTGTGTGTGTGTGTGTGTGTGTGTGTGTGTGTGTGTGTGTGTGTGTGTGTGTGTGTGTGTGTGTGTGTGTGTGTGTGTGTGTGTGTGTGTGTGTGTGTGTGTGTGTGTGTGTGTGTGTGTGTGTGTGTGTGTGTGTGTGTGTGTGTGTGTGTGTGTGTGTGTGTGTGTGTGTGTGTGTGTGTGTGTGTGTGTGTGTGTGTGTGTGTGTGTGTGTGTGTGTGTGTGTGTGTGTGTGTGTGTGTGTGTGTGTGTGTGTGTGTGTGTGTGTGTGTGTGTGTGTGTGTGTGTGTGTGTGTGTGTGTGTGTGTGTGTGTGTGTGTGTGTGTGTGTGTGTGTGTGTGTGTGTGTGTGTGTGTGTGTGTGTGTGTGTGTGTGTGTGTGTGTGTGTGTGTGTGTGTGTGTGTGTGTGTGTGTGTGTGTGTGTGTGTGTGTGTGTGTGTGTGTGTGTGTGTGTGTGTGTGTGTGTGTGTGTGTGTGTGTGTGTGTGTGTGTGTGTGTGTGTGTGTGTGTGTGTGTGTGTGTGTGTGTGTGTGTGTGTGTGTGTGTGTGTGTATATATATATGTGTGTGTGTGTATATATATATATATATATATATATATATATATATATATATATATATATATATATATATATATATATATATATATATATATATATATATATATATATATATATATATATATATATATATATATATATATATATATATATATATATATATATAAAAGTTGACTATTGAATTATTATCATGCATGATATTCAATTTTTTGTTCTTTCTTATGTAGATGTTTAACGACGAAACCCCATTCCCCGTTGAGGACTTTGTAGATCTTCGTAAATGTTGGGCGTATATCTACGATATGCTTAAAGGTCCTGCAACTGGTTGATTAATTTATTGAGATGTGTTAATGACTTATTTTCTGTATTGATGATGTGAATAATAATTTTGACTTAAACATATTGTACATGTGTTTGATGTAAATATTAATTTTTGCTTTTGATGCACAATGTTAACTGTTTTTTATGCTCTTTATGCATCGTTAACAAAAATATAGGTTGTTGTAAATTCTCTGATGTGGTTATAATAGTTACAGGATAAAAAATGAGAAGAATTTGAAAAGCAGAGAATTGCATATTTAAAATAGAGGAAGTTTTGACAGCGGTTGGATTAACAAACCATTGTGATATTGAATGTTGATCAGATTGTATCACAATGGTTGCATTGAATAACCATTGTGATATTGAATGCTGACTAGATTCTATCATAACAGTTGAATTAACTAAGCGTTGTGATACGACGCGCACTTTCTAGAATAGAACAACGGTCTCAAGATCGTGATTGTAAGTATGCATATACAATGACACGCTACATAACAACGCATGGTCCCGCGTTGTTATTGTGAGGGCAAGTTGTCTCAATCCTTATTTTAATGATGTCAAAACGTGTCTAGTTAGTACTTTGTATTTTGGACGGTATTATCGAGTCTCATCTGCATTCGTAATTCTCTAGTGCATGTAAATATTTCAAAAACATGAGTCTATTTATATAGAAGAGCATCATATGTGTTTTGTGTGTACTTGATCCTTTTGAGAGAGTTAGGTGTGCATAAGTATTGTTTAGGTAGACCAAAACATGCTCAAAAAGTCATTTTTGGAAGTTTCGGAGGCTTGAGTCGACTGAAAATCCTGCTTAGGTCGACTCATGTAATGTGGATTTTGAGCTTTTGCTCTCAGGTGTGCTCGCGTCAATCCTCCGATCGAATCATACTGTTAGTGTTTGAAATTATCATTTTTGGACAGGTTTGCGTCGACGCATGAACCTGTTCTGGTCAACGCATAGAGTCAATGTTTGCACAATTCTAAAATCGGGTGTGCTCAGGTCGACCCCCTCTTTTCTTAGGTCGACCGTTCGCTCGAATCACTCTATTTTTCTGATATGTTTGATTTTCAAATTGCTGTTATGGTTGTTAATTGGTCTTAACTTCATATATATTCTTTTTGGCTCATTTTTTGTACAATATAACACAACAAAAAAAGTGAAACATTGACATTGATTTTCTCTCATCATCTTCATCCTCTTTCTTGCATTTTCTCAACAACTATACATAACAATTTTTGTTGATCATTCTACATTATTGAGGTGATAATGTCCAAACATAGGATATTGTATCGGGTTTGGGTTGAGAGATCGATGGGTTTTTCTTGAATAAAATCTTTAGGGTTTTGTCCTCCAAGAATCTTGAGGTTTTGAGGATTTTTGCACAAATCATTTCTTCACAGATTCAACCGAGCGAAGGTGGTTGAAGAACGGGTGGTTCATTCAATCTAGTAGCGGTAACCGGAGGATTGTGGAAGAAATATTTGGATTCGAATTATGTGTGATTGAAATCAGTCAGGCTAAAGATTTAAAGATTGTTGGGTTGTTCAGACGAGTAGCTGGAATCAGAGGTTTATTCAACACATTTGAGGCACTTGATTCGACTTGAATCAAGGGAAAAGAAGACATAGTTTTAGCATCAACAACTAGGCTTGAATGTGTGATTACTATTACTTTTGTTGTACAAACTTTTACAACAGGTTAATATAGATCTCAATTCTATTTCTAGAATTAAGGGCATACGTACCCCAAGCGAGAACGAAGGGGGAACTGCCTCAACAAATTTGGTGTTGTTCTCTCTTTCGCTATTTTTCTATTTCTGAATTGTTAACGTTTGTGCACAATCAATTGTTCGATAAAAATTCTGGTATATTGTAGTGCTGAAAAGTATTTTGAAAACTCATTACAATCATTTTGATTGTAATTGAAAAAGTTTTGCACTAACATTACTTAGAGAATCACTTAAGGTGTTTTGCACACCAAGTGTTCGACAAATTGGTCGCACACAAACTATTTATGCTTTTTTCAAATTGAGTATAATTTTTACAAGCCATTGGAAATTGCACAAACTTAAGTGATTCTAATTGTATTGATTGACATTCAAATATTGATTCGTTTTCTCATTGGATTCGATATTCCATCTTGGCTTATCGCATATATGATCTTTTCAGTAATGGTTCGTTTAGACGGCCTTAGTTCCTCGGCCGCTTCCGCATAAATTTTAAAAATCAAAATTCTTTTAAGTGCCAACTCTGTTTAAGAATTAGTGATCTATTCAGCTCCCCTTCTAAATCGTTGTCGTCGTCTAATAGTTATATATATTTTCCAACCGTTGTTAAATGTCTTTTTCGTAGTAGTGCACATATCTAAATCGACCATTAACTCTAGTTCTTTCCATAAAATATTGGGAGCTTTGTGTTCAAGCTAGTAGTTCCGCCGTTTATCTTCGTTCTTATGCAAATCATTCAGTTATCACCAACACTCGTGTTTCCTAAACCATGAGAATCAAGATTTGTGATTCTCTTCGATTTCAAACTTCAATAAATCAATCACACACCTCACTACACTCGTATTTTCCTATGAGTCGAACTGGAGCCTAGGATACTGAATGTTGGAGTTCAACAATGAATCTCCATTAACAATGCACAAGAATTGGCAAAGATGAAGATGAAGAATTAGAAGAGAGACAAACAAATTTTCTAACTAACTTTTTCTAAAAAAAACCGGTTACAAATTCACTTTTATTTTAATTTATATAGATTCACCTAAATTCAACTCAAATGAAATACAAATTAAATTCAAATACAAATACAAATATAAATGTAAATGCAAATGAAACTAAATTACATTCCACATTTGAGTTATGGAGATCGAGTTTTAATTGTTGTTATAAAATTATTCATACTTACAAAAAAGTCAACAAATTTGGTTAGTTTTGATTGAATTAAATTTATAGGTTCTTTTTCTTTAATATTTTCAATTATTGATTCTTATTTCAACCATTTTTCTCTATGGAGAACAATTACTCTTTGGAGAATAGTTAAAAGTAATATTAACAAAACAATAACTATTTCATAGAACATTGAAAAACAATTAAATAGAAACAAAATGTTGCTAAAAAACAATACTAATTTAAAAGAAATACAATAGGAGGTAGTGTATTGTGTCAACATTACAAAGGATAATGTCCTTTCATGAATGACCAATTTTCACCACATCATTTGATTTGAGGGTGTAACATACCTCTTTCAACAACAACCTATAGGATCAACTTCTATCATTTTACAAATGTTACTTTTCTTCCCTCTTACTATTACAAAGATCTGTGCCTCAAGTGAACATCCATATAAGATAATCTAATGAAAATTAATGTCAAAAGAAAATGTTAACAAGAAATAGGAACCTACCCTGCCCTTTGCTACTATATAACCAATACAAATATGGATGCCACTGAAAAATGAAGAAAAAAAGAGGAATGGGTGGATTTACAACATGGTGATTAATCAGCTGCATTGAGGATTAAGAATAATCATGCAAGAATTGGAAGGCTGAACTCTCGAGCAGTTCCGCAGGAGGTTTTACTTTCGGAATTGTCTTATCTCTTTGAGAATGAGAAACCTCTTCAACAATGATAGGAAGACTGCAGTTTCAAAACATTGAAAGATGTAAAACTCGGTTTCGGAACTAAATAAGGTGTTGCATATGTGTGTTACATGATGTTTACCTTGAATTGTCTTCCAACAAGAAGGATTTGTCATCTTCGCTTACATCGTCTGTCATTAGCAGCTTTATTCTAGTAGTTACCTGCACAAGCAAATGGTAGTAGTTACTATCAACAAAATATATTCAGAGAAAAAAGGAATTTTATTCTACTTTCATTGGATTCTGAAACTTACATCTGTTGATACTCTTTTGGAGTTCTCATTTTCATTTTCATCCGAGGTTAGTGTACATATTCTATAAAGCTGTTGAGAACTCAAGACCTGAATTCAGCATACGCAGATGTTAGAGAAACATTAAACTAACGTGTTACGTATATTATAGCCGATTTAATATTTACCGGGCAGATGTCATTTGTAAGATCATCATAGGATATTTCGTCCTTCTCTTGAGCAACCTAGAGAAATGATGGCAACCAAATTAAGACGGGAGAGAACCGCGTGCTTGAGAGTTTAGGAAATTTCATGTATTGCATTATAAAGAAGAAGAGTTTGCAGCAGAAGTGATAGGCATACCAAGAATCTAACTGCTTGTTTTGAATGGTTGAGTTCTTCCAAAGATGAGCCAGCATACTGCAACAGAAACAGTTATTTGCTATATAAAAACTAAATCGTTGTTCACATAATTCATTTGATTTCAATGCAACTATGCGAGTTAGAAAAGTGTGAAGATAGTGCATACCTCTTCGGCTACTTCAGTACACCATAATTCTAGTTCGGCTAACCCTGATTTTATATATTCTCCATTCTTGAATGTGCAGCATTCTTTATGCAATAGAAGGCTAGAGAACAAAACATAATTCGAGGTAATTATAGAGACTAAAACATATTTAACCATTAATATTTTCCGATAAAACGGGCCAAATGAAACAAGATACTTACCTGTTAAATATTTCTGCGTTGATATATTGAAACGTCTGATTAAATACCTTTTGAACTAGAATGGGAGGCACCTGAGAGAAAATCGGAAAAAAAAACGGTTTGCTCAACTTTATAACAAAGGATTCAAAACATAAGGGATGTAAAGATTCTAATTCACTGAACTATCAAACCTTTACGTACATAATTTTCTTTTAGAATATTGAGAAATTTATTAAGGCATTCAATAATTTTGATCCATGAACCAGCTGATTGGCTGTCGTCGTTTCGTGTTTTGTGCTCCTGAAGTAAGAAAATGACATGTAAGTTGAAAAAGCATATATTTTTCTGCACATTGCTATCATACATATGGAAATGCATTAAAAACATACTCGATGATGAAATATATAACCGGCGTACCTCTATGCAAGTAGAAAGTAGAGGGGACAATTCTTTCTTCATATTTTCTCGAACAATTCCGTATATCTTTTCCACATAAGCTGCTAGCTGTTGCTTGAAAAGCAAAGCTGGGTACTTTGCTTCAACTTGATGTTCTACATCAAATGAACTACTCGAAAGACTATTTGACGAGCGGAAACCCTGAGAAACACCATTGCATTTCGTGTTTGAGTCTAATGTCATTATATAGCTGTAAGTTACCAAAATAATAAATTAGATAGGTATAGTTTAACTTAGCACCTGGGTCATCCTCCCGAAAAACCCTGTTGGAGTGGGTGGTTTTCGTGCCGGTGCTCTTAAACATCGTTGAAGGTGAAAAAACAAAGCAGATGTATTGGACAGCCAATAAGCCATACAAGTGTTATTATCCTGATCCTGCAAAAATGTTGCATGTAATATCATGTCAGACCTTACGAAAGCGAGCATAGATAATGTAATGACACAAAAATCGAGAATTTAAGACTGTTAACTCTCATGTTTACAGCTAAATCCTAAAGTATGATATGCTTTGATCTCTAATAGAGAACAAAAATCGATGTTACCTCTATTGCAGAACCGATGAGTTGAATAAGACGATCAAATATACTTGTCTTATCTGCTTCAAAAGATTTCCAATGTAGCAAACAATTATAAAGGGTAAATGCCGCAACAGGTTTCCCTTCAGAGAACCCGAGATCTTTTATCACACACTTGAAAAGAGCATCTACACTCTCCTACACCCAAAGAAAGTAACAAAAGTGATAATTCGGTTAAATGCGTTGAAACTATATAACAATGTCACTTAAATAAAAAATTGTTTTGCTAGAGTATACATGATGCCTCTCCATATGAGATCTCCTCACAGATTCTGAACCAAGTGTTTTTACTGGAACCTACATAAAAAGTACTTTTCTTCAAAATCATGACAAAAGAATAGGAATAAAACTTTTTTTTTTCTCTTGATAAATACAAAAATTATATAAATTATAAGGAAAGTTAAGGGGATTCAATTCGCGAAACAATTTATTACCGGATGACCATTTTCCAAAGGCTGTAATGATAAGAGAAAAGTTATAAGTTAATATAAATCTCCAATTAAGAGTACCAACATTCTCACTTAATGAACAATGTTTTTGTATTTACCGGAATCGCAGCAAGTACAATTCTCTTGGATGATGAGGTCGACAGCGCTTGCTTCCGGAAAATTTGATTCTCGGTTTCCATATCAGAAAGTTTTTCTTCAAGCCTGGTATGCAATAACGTAAACGTATCAAATAAAATAAAACACAAAATGTATTTAATTCAATCTTGCAATACAAGACACAAAATTTGTTCTAAAAACCTTTGCATATTTGTCTTTAGTTCAATCATCTTTGATTCTGTTTCTATAATTTGATTCATCCGCTCCTCACTAATCGTGCTAGTTTCTTCATATTTCTTTTCTGTCTCATCAATTTTCCTTTCCAATGAACTAACCTGATCCTGCAAAGTATCAGAAGTAAAAATAATTATCGATATTAGGACAAACCGAGAAAAATAAACATCAAACGGCCGACAAAACTTATACCTTAAAATGTTCCTTTTCTTCTCTAAGCTTATTAATCACTTCATTGTCAGTAAAACTAGCAGGAAACTCTTCTTTAGTTTTCTTTTCCAATGAACTAACCAGCTCCTGTAAAGCACCAAAAAACAATTATTTCGGATACTATGACACATCTCGATATGCATAAATGATAAATTTTCCAACCATTTTCTAGATAATGCTTACTTTGAGCTGTTCATTTTCTGTAGTAAGCTTATTAATCACTTCATTTTCAGTAAAATTAGCTGGAATCTCCTGTTTAGTTTTCTTTTCCAATGAGTTAACTAGCTCCTGTTGAGCACAAAAAAAAAACAAAACAATTATTTCGGATACTACGACACATTTCGATACACATAAATGATAAACTTTCCAACCACTTTCTATATAGTGCTTACCTTGAGTTGTTCATTTTCTGTAGTAAGCTTATTAATCACTTCATTTTCAGTAAAATTAGCAGGAATCTCGTGTTTGGTTTTCTTTTCCAATGAGTTAACTAGCTCCTGTAAAGCACACACAAAAAAAAAAAACAATTATTTCGGATACTACGAATCATAAATGATAAACTTTCCAACCGCTTTCTATATAGTGCTTACCTTGAGTTGTTCATTTTCTGTAGTAAGCTTATTAACCAGTTCATTGTCGGTAACATTATCGGAAAGCTCCTGTTTAGTTTTCTTTTCCAATGAGTTAACTAGCTCCTGTATAGCACAAAAAAAAAACAATTATTTCTGATACTATGATACGACACATCTCGATATGCATAAATGATATATAATGTTTACCTTGAGTTGTTCATTTTCTGTAGTAAGCATATTAATCGCTTCATTTTCAGTAAAATTAGCAGGAAACTCGTGTTTAGTTTTCTTTTCCAATGAGTTAACTAGCTCCTGTAAAGCACATAAAAAAAAAAAAACAATTATTTCTGATACTATGTTACGACACATCTCGATATGCATAAATGATATATAGTGCTTACCTTGAGTTGTTCATTTTCTGTAGTAAGCTTATTAACCAGTTCATTGTCAGTCACATTATCAGAAAGCTCTTGTTTAGCTTTCTTTTCCAATGAGTTTACAAGCTCCTGCAAAGCACCAAAAGTAACAATAATTTTGGAAACTATGACACAGACGGATTTGGATTGCATGCAGTCCAGTCCGATGCATTCGCACATTCAGCATATCGAGAGCCATTGGACCAAGATTCGGCGGTCCAGATTTAAAGTTCTATTTTTTTTTTATTGAACTCTAACCGTTCGATCTCAATCTATCTGCCACCGATATGTGGACTGCATGAATGTGTCAGATTGCTGACTATTGGTTACCTTGAGTTGTTCATTTTCTGCAGTAAGCTTATCGATTTCACTATCAGCGACATTATTTTCCAGTATAGTTGGAGTTTGCTCAGCCAATTCCTTTGCAGCCTCGCGTTCCTGAATGAGCTCCGCTTTAGTTTCTTTGAACTGAAGCTCCATCGCTTCCAAAGCAGATTGTAATTTCTCTGCAGCCTCGCGTTCCTGAATGAGCTCCGCTTTAGTTTCTTGGAACTGAAGCTCCATCTCTTCCAAAGCACATTGTAATTTCTTTTCAGCCTCGCCTTCCTGAATGAGCTCCGCTTTAGTTTCTTTGAACTGAAGCTCCATCTCTTCCAAAGCACATTGTAATTTCTTTGCACCCTCGCGTTCCTGAATGAGCTCCGCTTTAGTTTCTTTGAACTGAAGCTCCATCTCTTCCAAATCACATTGTAATTTCTTTTCAGCCTCGCGTTCCTGAATGAGCTCCGCTTTAGTTTCTTTGAATTGAAGCTCCATCTCTTCCAAAGCACATTGTAATTTTTCATTTTCCTGTGTCTTGGCTTCCTCAATATCATAATGAACCAAAACAGTTAGAATGTCAGTAAAATAATATATCAAAACAGTTAGAATGTATTAATTTCATACTTTAGCATTTTCATTTACTATGAATAAATAAATTACCCTCATTCTCTTCTCTGTCTCTAAACACTCAGATAGTTCCTCAACTTGCTTTTCTAGATAAATTTTCGCGGCTTCTAGGGCCTTGGATTCCTTAGCAGCCTGCATGAATTTAAAATTTAAAATTTTCAAGAATGACGTTTTTGTTCGTGAAGATGATAAAATTCACATTTAGGAAACATATAGAACTCTACATATTAGAGGCAAAAAAATTAACACCATTTTAAGCTTTCGAAGTTCTCTTCGTGCTTTTGTTCTCCGCCACGAGCACTGCATTGCGATTGTTGCTTTCTTTAGCTTTTTGAAATAAGTACGAGCTAAATAACGTCTGTGGCAACTCTATAATTGAAAGAAAAAAAAACTCACATTAATTTAAACATACTTTATGTATAACAATTCACTGAATATCATACATATTATATGAATTTACGATGAGATTTATAAAATAATGAAGCTTATTGCATTGAAGGCAAGGGTATACAGAAACCTCAAATTTCAGTTGAGAGATCTAATTAATAAAGAGATTGGAATTTGAAATAGGCTAACTCCTACCTGAATAACAGTTGCAGCGTGTGTCCGCTTCCTGAATCGAAGTTCATTTCTAGCAGCCATTCCTCGCATGCCGGTTTGAATACAAACAGCTTTGGAATAGGTAGTTTTATAAGCACTTCTTGAAAGATACATGCGGATTTGTTTCTGGATTACCAAAGATGCGGCTTCCCTTCTCAAGCATTCATACTGACGTCTTGCAAGTTGTCCTATGTTAAGTTCATAGGACACGTAAAACTAAATGACTTAGAAAATGTATAATCAAAATTATTCATACATAGTATTAAGAAAATACATACCTTTAATCGCCCTTTGTAGTTCTATGGCAGAGAATCGCAATAATCTGTACTGTTTCTCACAAATATATGTGCGAGCTTTTTTCTGAATAACGATTGCGGATCTTCCTAGGACCTCAGCACGACATGCATCTAGTTCTGCCATTTGACCTGCTCTCAGAAAAACTTTTGTCTTTCCTATCTGCAAAGAAACCCAAACGGCATTTTATTCCAATCCATATTATCATATGTAATGTGTTCGAAATTTTTTAGCATCACCATCTATGATTCAATGTAACCAGCGAGCAGATAAAAATGCTATAACTGAGATTTACATAAGAACTAGTACCTGATAATCTCGAAGGTTTGCTTTATCTAGAAGTCTCTTGCAAGCAGTCATCTCATCAGGACTGCAGATATATGTTTATTATTAGTTATTTTATATTTAGTTGTGTTATTTGAGCATCTAAAATCGAACAAATTTTGCGACAAAAATCTAGATGGTTAATTATGTTTAGTACAATCACATTCATCTGTATGATTGGAACAAGAAAACATAGAAAAAAGGAGAAGTAAATACCATGATTTTAGAACCTTAGGTTCCATTATACTAAACCGTTGAACAAATTCATCGAAGTTCTTTCGAGTTGGATATCCAGCGCAACTTATCCTAATTGCCTCCATTACACCCTGTAAAAGGTATCAACAAAGTTTGAAGTAACTTGAAACAAAAGTATTCATTTCATAATAAAGAACAAGGCAATATGGCATTGAACTCACCCCACATCGAAGCTGCTGTAACACATCGTTGTTCTCAAATATCCCTGGCTTAAGAAGATTATTTGGCTTTACGCAACGAATGTAGTGTGGCTCAGTCGCATTCAATGTTTCAAGCAAAGTTTGCAGTTGTTGCTTCATTCCATAAGCAATAAGAATAACAAGGATCAATAGTTATATACAAACGACTTGTACTTTGCAAGAATATGCATGTTTAAAGAAAACAGACCTTAAACTGAGTGGCTATAGACGAAAACTTTGTTGATTTAGTGCCTTCCTCGTGTAAAGGTGGAAAAAGTCCTGAAACAAAGGAGCACTTGGAAGCACTGAGAAGCGCTGCGTGTTCCGGAACAACATAGTCTTTGTTTTTATCAAGGAAATGTTCAGTCTGATAAGTGACCTGAAATAAAAAATCGATATATATATATATATATATATATATATATATATAATATATATTAAGCTTTTAACTTCATATTTCATGGTTGATACTTGATATAACTGCGTAGACCAAAATGTATTTTACTCACATCACCAGCATAGTGATTGATGGTGAAATCAGTTCGTGACAACTTCGGTTTGCTGAATCGCTTATTGTCCCTAAGTGTTTGATATAGCTTTTCTGCAAATGTTTCGTGCGTTGATCTTGGAAACATACTACAAAGAATAGGCAGGACAATATATAAAAGAATGACTATAAAACATAGTTATTGCTCAAAGTATATATATTTGCATGTGCTGACGTCACTTTACGTAATGTAAAATGACATAAACAAACCATTAACTATAATACAAATATTTGAACTATTATCATTTAATACGTACCAGGCCTCGTCCAGAAGAGCAATAACACCGCCAGGTTTCTGAAGTTATAAACAAGAATGAGATAACAAACTGATAGAACTTTCCTAAAATGACAATAATGCATGGAAGGGTGAGTTGCACCTTCTCAATAAGATCGAGAACATCTTGATTATCAACGAACTCTATATAACTCCAATCAATTTCTTCCTTTGTATATTCCTCTTGCTCCATTTTGAAGACATGCTGCATAATGATATAATGAAGTGTTATTTGAGTCTAGAGAAATTGTTTACCAGGAGATAGTAGAAAAATCAAACCTGGTTGAAATGTTGCTGTAACTTCTCATTTGTCAAATTGATACAAAATTGCTCGAAGCTGAACAGGGTCGATGTAACGTTAGTTACGGTTAGAACAATAACCATGGTTAAAAAGTAAATACATACGAAAAATGTAAACAGAAAACACAAGAAATTCGATCACAGAGATTGGCCAAATGTGCATATGTCTCCGACTACAGAGCGATAAATTTCATATAAAACTAGGCAAAAGGGTGGTTAAGAACCTGTTTGTCTTGAAACTCTCGAATCCGTATATATCTAGAACTCCAATTAAGTTCTTTGAAGTTGGATCTTGTCCAATAGAGTTGTTAATCTTGTCCACAATCCTGGATCAACCGTTGTTTTCATCAATCGAATACATTAACCAATGCATATCAAAAGGAGGTTTTATAAAATGTATAAACTAATTTACTTTTTTCATGAACTTGACACGAATTACCAGTCAAAAAGCCTTGAATAAACAATTTTAGCCAATGCATCTCGACTGAGAGCTGCAGAATTTGGATCAAGGCATTTTGTTATAGCCTCACCACGAGTCACCATAAGGCGTTTGCAAAACGAGTCTTCAAGGGACTTTACATCGCACCTACCATAACACGTTCCACGTTCCACGTTAGTGAAAATTGATTTTTGTTAAAAGCAAGTTGAACGTAAAACTTCGAGCGTAAATTCACTTACATCAAAAGTTCAGCTGCGGTTTTTAGGTGGAAATAAGATTTTTCATCTTTAGGTTTAGAGGAATCCATTCCTTCATCCACTGCTTTAACAAATTCAATGTTTCCTAAGTGAAGTACAGCAGCTACTATTCTAAATATCGCATCCTGATAAGAGAGGTATCATATGAAAAATTCTCGTAAGAATGAAAAAGTACAAAAAATAATGGAAGAACTATTCAATAGAGAATTTTAACGTACCGTTTCATCGGCGCTGATTCCAACAACTTCCATAGCTCTCCTAGTTGCAAGGTACTCCTTTGAATCATCCAGTGCATCCAGTTCATAGCAATTTGATTGATTAAGATAATGAAAGGTTCTTGGATTTCCCAATTTGAACCGTTCAACATCCTCTTTTGGTGCAGCACAAAGCATATAAAAGCAATGATAATTTCTCTCGGGATCAGAAACTTGACAAACGCGTGATCGTTCTAGTAAATAAGTTCTGATAGCAGCTCCTGAAATTCTCCCCTTGTGATCAAATTGAATCTCCACAAACTTACCAAAACGACTGAAATTATACTATGTAAGCTTAGGACAGTCTTTAAAATAACAATAACGAGAAAGAATGATATTGTAGAGAATGCGCAGTTTATAAAAAATATGAATACCTTGAATTATTATTCCTAACCGTCTTTGCATTCCCAAATGCTTCTAAAACAGGATTGGACTGCATAAGTGCATATGATTAAGCATCATGTTCTCATTATATAAGCTATGTAGTATCAACAGAGACACGACACTGACACATGTGATTACATGTTAGGGTCAGTGCTCGATAGATATTTAGTTTTTCTTACCTCGAGAACTTGTTGCTCCACAGACCGTCCCTCGCTTGCTGCTGCTCTCCCTCCTAAATAGGCAAGATAATGCATAAGCATCTTTGTACTTTCTGTTTTACCGGCTCCACTTTCTCCACTAACCAAAATTGCTTGGCTTTTTTCTTCGTTTATCATCTTCCTGCATACATTTATCTCTTTTAGTCACTGCTCTTGCATCTTATTCATAATGTTGTATCATTTGTAATGGTTTTTGGATTTTAACCAAAGCTATTACATATCGCAGATGTATTATAAAGAAAAACTGGAGTAATACTCGGAGCGTTTATGCAGGAAAAAAAGCAACAAGATACCTATATGCATAACCTGCAATTGCAAAAGGATGTGGACTCTGCTCACCAAAAGCCGCGCCTTTATACTTTGCCATTGTACTAGTCGCATACAAATGAGGTAACCTTTGAAAAGGGTTCACTGCTATCAAGATGTTTCCTGTGTATGTCTGCGTGCAAGACGCCATCACCAAAAGTTTAACACTTTATTTATTTATCACAACGATTGTAAGAGTCAATGCAGAAAACACGAAACACAATGTGATCTATTACATATATATCATTGAGGGTATAACGAATTTGCAAATTTTGAAGTACTCCCGGTTCATGCAGATATGCAAGTCTTGTCATATCTTCCACTCCGTTAGGTGGAAACTCAGGATCTTTCGGGTAAATATTAGCTGATTTGCTCACAACCTGCAATACAAATTATGAAATTTTTAAGTTTGACCTGAACAACATAATCTACGAAGCACTGACATAGACACAGATACTAGAGACAACATTGGTCCTAACACGTAGATTCTCACCTTTGTTCCTGATTCAAAGCTAATGGTGATCTCATTATCATTAGATTCAAGAATCTCTCCATCTATCCAAGCTTGATCAGTGTCCTCAACCCAAACATGAGATCCGACAAAATAAGTGAGTTGAGCAGCCTGTACATTCAAATACAAAATCAGTGCTTCTATATAGAATCTTGTTTAATAGTGCAACCATGTATACTTTCTACTACTAGAAATATATCGTTTTCCGACCAGTCTTCAAACCCTAATAGAAGATATAATTAAAGAAAGTAGATGATTACCATTGTAAAATGAAATACTAAGCACCAAAAACAGCTGCTCAAATCAGAAATTCCATCAACAGAATCTACCAACCAACCAACTTGGATTCTTCAATCTCCAACCTTTCTTTTTTTACACTCAATCAATCTCCAAGCTTAAACAATGCGCAACGAGTAATAAACTTGTTGCTGATAACAACTTGTCAATCTCTTCACTAAAAGAAACTTTGCTAACAAAGTTGGAAGATAAATGTATAAACTATAGGAGTCGTCGGCGCGGGAAAATGTCGTTGCAGAAGAGGCTTCAGAATCACACAAGAAGAATAATTTCCAACCTTATGTTAGTTAAACCCCTCCTCTGCAACTATCTCCCCTGAATTATTTCCTTCCTTGTTTATTTCTAAGGCACAATAAAAACCTTCTTGTTCTTTCTATGTTCCCCAACAAGGAACGTGTTACAACATGATGATAACATGATACATTATTATTTCCGACATGTTCATGTTCACGTGTCACTAAACAACCATTCCATGCAAACCCTTTTGTCGTTGATATCCAAAATCCTCATCATCACCAAATAACATTTCTTCTGAATTCAAGAAATTCTCAAAACATCATGTGTTGTTGATCTGAATGAATTTCTAAAGAGAAAAATGTAGAAAAAGTAACAATAATAATTGTCGGGGACAATTAAAATCTACACCTTTGTTTCAATAAAAAAAACCAGCCTCCATTGTCATGAATGATCCTACCCAGTGTGGTTGTTTTTTAACCAGTGAAATGAATCTGATTATTTTTTATTTTTGATAGAAAAAAATGTAATTTATTTTTATTTGCAGAATTTAATGGTTTAGAAAATGTCACTTTTTTTTTCTACTAGTTGTATATTGTATTGTATTGGTGCAATGGTGGCACGTTAAGAGATATGATGATACCCGTATTAAGAAAAAACCGGAGACTCAACTAACTTTTCTGACGTGCTTAAATCTACACTATTACCTATTTTTATTCTTATATTTTTTTACAAAATGTTTGCAATGACAATAATAATAATGTAAAAAAATATTTATTTAAAATCACCATTAATATCATTTGTTAATCAATTTTTTTTTAGTTTTCCTAAATTGAATGTTTTAAATGACTAGTTTTTTAAATATTTATATTGTAAGCAAATTAATATATTTTCTAAATTTAATTAAATTTTAAATATTTTTAATTAATTAATTTAAAATAATATATAGTATAATTATTTTGCAATTATTTCCTCTTTAACATTTATTTATTTATTTTATTAAAACATGCATTGTTGTAAATGTTTAATTTTCCTAACTTATATTTTTTAAGGGGCCGATTAAAGGTCTAATAAAAGAAACTCCATATTTGATTAAGGTCTTGAACAATTTAATCAATTTTCATATATAAGTTATCTCAGGTGAAAAAAAGTATGATGCTCACTCTTGCATTATTCCACATTCTCTCACTGACTTGAGTGTTAGAGTGTTAACTTTGTAGGTCGGTACCTTTAAGTGTGTTGGAAGCACAACTCTGCTGCAATAAGGCATTACCTCATCCTTTCACTGATCATCTCTAGTTTTGAAGAGAATGATGACGTCGCCTGTGAGAATCGACTTTTAATTTTTACGAATTTCAACAATCAGACTCGTCTGATTCAAGTCACGATCGTTGTAGCAATTAAAATAAGATGAAGAAAGCAACTCTCGATCTTATTCTCAAGAGCCCCTTAAATCCTTTCAACTCCGGATCATCTTTGGTCTTTGTCGTCAATTAGATTGGTCGAAGGCTTCTGTTCTGGCCTGGGCCCCGGCTTGACCGGGCAGGTCTAGCCCAATGATATTCTGCCAAGTCCAATCCAGCTTGGGCCACAGCCGTCAAGCACAGAGTCCCTGCCGGGCAGGCAATGTTCCTCTGCGGGTAAGACTTTCTCCCTTGTCGAGCAGAACAATGTGTCCTTCACACGTTCTCCACGTGCCCCCTCCGCGGGGACACGACATCCACCAACTGCCCACCTCCGAAAGAGCAGGTCAACCCACTTTCCAGAGTTCACGGAGCAGTTGAACTAGGGCGAAGACCACGTTCTGTTCTTCACTACGCCACGTAAGCCCTAGCAGTCACTTGGGTTGGGCCTGACCATCCAGCCTAACTCAAATGACCGTTGGCCCTGCACTGGGGTCTCTCTATAAATACCCTCTTCTCCAAGAGGGTCAGGTATTCTTTTCTTACCTCCTTTTCCTGTATTTTGCTGTCACTCTGTCCAAATTCTTACTTTGGCATCGGAGTGTCTTGCAGGTACACCTCACATCTCCTTTCAACACTGGTGAACAGACAATAGATTAACGGCGTGTGGCAAGTCCTTGGTCCCCTTCTGATCAGGTCAGATCAGTGGCGCCGATTGTGGGGATCTAAAACTTCCCCGTTCCTCCGAGCAGAGAACCAAAGTTTCATCAACATTCCGCGATCATGGCTAGCCCACACCACGACGATGCCGTTCACGGCCTCATTCTCGCTACCGCCGCGAACGGCGGCAAGCAAACAGAGACATCCTAACCTCCGGAGACCGACGAGAGGGACGACCAGACTGCCTCTCCCTTGTCCGCGGAAGCTGCACACCAGACTGTTCTTCGACCAAGGAGCCCGGCAGCGTTCCAGCCCATCCCTATCCCGGGAGGAGCAGACCCGACAGTGGCCGCCCTCTTTGCGGCCATCAACCAAACGAATCAGCTGTTGTTCCAACAGAACGCACGGATTGACGCACTAGAGCACGGAGTCCCGTTGAGGTCCCCTCCGCGGGAAGACTAGAACGGAAATTCGAGGAGTTCATCCCCTCGTCCCAGGAATCGTCGACCCCAGCTAGAGAGACCCCAACCCGAAGTAGTGCGGGAGCGGACCAGGTCGCCAAGGAGACAAGTCCAGGAGCAACGGCCAGCCAGGGGGGATCCCCCGACCAGACCTCCGAGGGTCGAACCTCCGGTCAGGAGACTGACGATGCAAAATCAAGCGCCTTCTCCACCAGGGCCATCACCCCCTCAGTCACCAACTCTTAGTGACGAGGACGACTACAGGACCCCCTTGTCCCGAGAGATCATGGCGGCTCCCATCCCCCACGGGATGAAGAAGCCCTTAGCACTCTCGACGTATGACGGTACCTCCGACCCAGACAACCACCTGGAAAATATCGTGGCCATGCTCGACTACCGAAATGTCCGAGGAGCTATCAAATGCATACCCTTCCCGACAACACTGAGGAAGAGTGCCATGACGTGGTGGAGGGTCCTGATGAATCTCTTTTCAAGACACTTCACAGCATCCTGGCGCCATCCGAAGACAGAGGCCGCGTTGGGCGCCATAATCCAGGCCCCCGACGAACCCCTCCGAAAGTACATCGAAAGGTTCACACGAGAGGCAGTGCAGGTAATGACGTCGAACAAGATGAAACGTTACCTGATGGAGCAAGGCCTGCACCGAGACTCCAAATTCTACGAAGTTGTGGCCATACACCGACCAGCCTCTCTACAAGACTTCCTCGACAGGGCCGCGCATTACATCCGGTTTGAGGAGACTCAATCGGCCAACTCCGCCCGCAACACTTGAGACCGAGAGACCCTTTGCGGGTCCCAAGAGGACGGAGCCTCGACCCACCGGCGCGGAGGAGAACGACGACGGGAGGATCGCCCCCGCGAGCCCCGCGAGCAACGCGGCCCTGCCGGTCGATTCACATAGTATACAGCTCTAGTCGCTTCCCGCGAGCGCATATTAGCCGAGTGCGCCAAAACGGAGTTTGTCCAGGCAGGTGTCCGCTTCCCCAGGCTGACACCCCCCAAGCCCAACGTAGACAAATCGAAGTTCTGCCGCTTCCACAAAAGCCACGGGCACGTTACAGAAGACTGCATCCACCTCAAGGACGCGATCGAAATCTTGATCAAGGATGGGCACCTAAAAAGGTACACCCGGGGTGGAGAAGCCCCGCGAAAAGATGCTCCCGAGGCCAAAAGATTCGAGGACCTCCCTTCTCACGATGGTGACAATGATCTGTAGGTTGCCCTCAGCGTCAGTCGGCCTGAGGATTGGTTCGCGCTCAGAAAATTCGGCCTCCCCGTCGGGCCTGATCTACCCGACGAGCCTGTACACCCCACCAGCCGATGGGAGTATTTCTCGAAGGCCATGGTCATCTCTGGTGGATCCCAGAGGAATCTATCTGTGGGATCGGTAAAAAGGAAGTTCAAGGAACTCATCACCAGCAACTCCGGCAAAATGAGCACCCCCGACAAGTTTCATGGCCGGTCCAACCCGATCACTTTCTACCTCGAGGAGCTTCCCGGGGGCTCCCCCAACTCAAACATCCCCCTCTTGATACGGGCACAGATGGCAAACTTCGACGTCAGACGAATCCTGGTCGATAGAGGAAGCTCGGTGGACATCATGTACACCCACCTTTTCATAACCCTCCAACTCGACGGGTCCAACCTGTCCCCCTACGTGGGCTCTGACCTCCAGGGGTTCAACGGGACGACAACAAGGCCTTGGGGGTACGTGGAGTTAAAGGTTACCTTCGGGGAAAAAGAAACGGCCAGGGAGGCCAATGTCCGCTTCCTGGTCATTGAATGTCTGTCCCTCTACAACTGTATCCTGGGCAGGACAACGATGCCCGAGCTCACCGCGGTTCCCTCCACCGTCCACCTAAAAATGAAGTAGTACACTAGGCGAGGGGCCGTTGTCACCCTAAATGGCGACATTGAGGCTGCCCGAAGATGCTTCGAGGCTGTGCTGAAAGGGTTAAGCACGATCGCCCCAACGAACCCAAGGACCTCGTCGGCTCGGTAGACCTCGACAGCTGCTTCACCAAAGAGTCCGACCGCGAAGACGAAGCCAGCGACACTCCTCCTTCCAACGGGCAGCCCACCCACCCAGCGCACCCCATCCTCGACGGTGATTTCGAGATCGTGGAACTCGGGGAAGACAAGACTAGGACCGTGAAGATCGGGGCAGGACTGCCCGACCTGGCGAGG